ATGACAAAATTACTTATATCTACTTGTACATACAATATAAGTTTATTTCTATATTTCATAAATCTGTAATTTGATGTAATTGTTCAAATACAACTTTAGTAGGTTACCTCTCTACTTTTGCAATCTATATCTCTTTCATATTGCAAGGATATAGAGCTATATAGAGCTCTACAGATACCATAGCGCATGCGCATATGACTTCTGCTTTCTGCTTATGGCTCCTGCAATTTTATGTGCTTCCACCTTTAAGGCTGATTTATAAAGGCCGTAACCGTTGATTTAAGCCGCAATATTTAAGAAATTGACTAATCACAGTCGAATGTGAGAAGAAAAATCGACTGTGATTGGTCAATTTCTTAAAGATTACGGCTTAAATCAACGATTACGGCCTCTATAAATCAGCCTTTAAGGTGCTGTCACCGCTGCTTGACGCTTGACGCGTCCTGTCCATAGAGATATAAGAATAGAGTGCGCGAGTCATATGCTCGCACGTAAGAGACTGCGATATAGGAATAGAAAGAGAACGCTGCATATGGGCCCCTGCTGTCTTTGTCTATGCACGCATGCGTCTTTGCGCTGCTCAGTGTCTATAACGCATGTAGAGATATAACCTATAATAACGCATTTATGTTCTAACCCCTTGAACCCCTTTGAAAATATATCCTTAAATAATAATTCCCAAAATTACCAAATTATTACAGCAAAGTACATATTGTAGTATTACCATAAAATATTACTTTTTTTTGAATATGGAATTGAATATGGAATTGTATATAAATATACTCAATATATATAATAATAAAACAAAATTTATTACATGTTGTTCATACAATGTTAATCATAGAATAGAATAGAATCCTATTCAGTCTTTTATTATTTAACACAAAAATTAAATTTTTTAAACACAAAAAATAAATTCTTTTAACACAAAAATTAAATCTTTTAAATCAGTCTTATTATTTAACACAAAGAAATAAAATATAAAAAAATAAAAAAATAAAAATTTTACTACAAACAATATAATATCAAATGCACATTATTAAATATTTATAAAAGTATACAGTTTTGCTATTGTCCACTGAAAATCGTGAGCTTATTATTTTGCATTCGTATTCTTTGAAATCACGAGATAAAACATCGAGAATACCGAGGTACAATCTTTCATGATCTGCACATCACTGCACATGCGCGCATAGACAAAGACAGCAGGGGCCCATATGCAGCGTTCTCTTTCTATTCCTCTATCGCCTTTTCAGCTCGCTTGCGCACTCTATTCTTATATCTCTATGGTCCTGTCTGAATGGTCTGAATCCAGCTGAAGGAGGTAAGTTCATGATCTGTTAACGAGAAGGTTAAGTTTACCACATTTGTACGATAAACGTCCTGAAATAAATTGTAAATGTAAAGTTATTTATATAAAAACATGTTTTTAAACCTCTCTGATTTAAGCCTCTCGCATAATGTCATAAGCACTATCAAAAGTGGCAAAAAAAATTACAAAGAAATGACATTTTAGGTTACTTCATATGGAAGTTTTACTAAAAAATTTTGCTCAAAGTCGGGTATAAAAAAATGTTAATTTATAAATTATATATTTGGACATACTCTTAACGTATTGTTTTCTCTAAAATTTCATGTAAATATGCATTTCAATGCGAAAAAGAAATAATACTTTTTTCTAAAAGTAAAATCTGATACAAAAGAAAAATTGAATAGAGATACATGAAAAAATGGTATATATGGGTTTATATACTAAACATATATCAATTTAGTATTACAGGATGACTTTGATTATATGTTATTTTAAATTCAGAAAATTTAGATTTTATCCAAACAGAACATTTATTTTATGCTTTTGAATATGAGATATATATAATAAAAATAATTTAAATTAATATATCAATAATTTATTCAGATAACTGCAAAGAATAATTAAAACCTATAAAGAAGAGTAATTATGGCTTTGACGTGGTCCGACAAGTACAGACTCATTACCAAAAATTTATCAGAATGGCTGGGAGATGTAAAACTTAAGAATATCCTGAAGGAACGTGATCTGAAGTTATATTGGGGTACAGCTACAACAGGAAAGCCTCATATTGGCTACTTTGCCCCCATGTCCAAAATAGCTGATTTCTTACGGGCCGGAACTGAGGTGACAATCCTCTTCGCAGATCTTCATGCGTATTTAGATAATATGAAAGCACCTTGGGAGCTTCTGGAACTTCGTACTCAATATTACGAGGCTGTGATCAAAGCGATGTTGAAATCGATTGGTGTGCCATTGGATAAGTTAAAATTTGTCAAAGGTACAGACTACCAGTTGTCCAAGTAAGTATTAAACAAACTCCTTTGTATGTACCTTAGCATTTTGCATTATAATTTGTTAAACTTATACAGGGTGTCCAAAAAATCGCCTACTCCACTTCGGGAGGTGATTCGGGACCCAAAAACAAGCAAAAAAGTTCATACAAACATAGGTCCGGAAATGAGCCGTTTCCAAATTATAGCCACTTTTATGTTCAAAAATCGTAAATTTTTATTTTCAATTTTTTTTAATTACAATTACCAAATTCTTTCAAGTTTCCGTCTACATTTCGAAAAGACGCTATTCCCGGTACATCTCGATTTGGAAAAGACTGGATGTATAATCTTCTTGCCTCGGGAGCATTACTTTGAGCAAGACCATACATAAGATGCATATCAGCTAATTCATTAAAACTTAAACGATCCATTAATGAATACGGAAAGATTAGATACAACCTAAAAGTAAGGTGTTGTTAAATAATAATTTGAAACTTATTGAAAAGCCGTGATTTACTTACTGATTTTGAATAGGCGTGAAAACAACTGATTTCAAGTAGCCGTGAAAACAACTGATTTTGAATAGCCGTGAAAACAACTGATTTTAAATAGCCGTGAAAACAACTGATTTCTTTTAAAAATAATGTAATCGTATTTACAAATATTGAAAAATTGAAAAAAAAATAAAAAAATTAAAATTAAAAAAATTAAAAATATTTAAAAATAAATATTTTTAATTTAAGAACCAATTAAGAAAGAGGGATGCCAAGCGGATTCTAAATTACGATTTTTTAACATAAAAGTGGCTATAACTCGGAAACGGCTCATTTCCGGACCTATGTTTGTATGAACTTCTTTGCTTGTTTTTGGGTCCCGAATTACCTCCCGAAGTGGAATAGGCGATTTTTCGGACACCCTGTATATTGTGTTTATTAATGACATTGCAATTAATTACATAGTTTTTTCTAAAGGGAATATACGTTAGATGTATATCGTCTGACTTCATTGGTGACAGAGCACGATGCGAAGAAAGCAGGTGCCGAAGTTGTTAAGCAAGTCTCTAATCCACTGCTGTCAGGTCTTCTCTATCCAAGTCTACAAGCGCTCGATGAGCATTATTTAAAGGTGGACGCACAATTTGGTGGCATTGATCAAAGAAAAATTTTTACTTTCTCAGAGAAATATCTACCAATGCTGGGTTATGAAAAATGTATCCATCTGATGAATCCGATGAGTCAGTATTAGAAGAGGAATATATTCTTTGCATGGCATTTAAATTAACGCGATTATTCATAATATTAACTTTTCACTGTTTACGTTCTGTTTAGTTCCTGGTTTGGCAGGTGCTAAAATGTCTTCATCGGAGGAAGATTCTAAGATCGATCTATTGGATAATCCTGCAACAATAAAGAAGAAGCTGAAGAAAGCATTTTGTGAGCCGGGAAATATCACAGATAACGGAGTTTTAACTTTCTGCAAACATGTTGTATTTCCATTATTCAAAGATGAAGTTTTCAACATATCAAGAACTGCAGAATTCGGTATGTGATTCACTATATAGGCGGATTTACGGAAAGATATTTTTTAATAAATTTAGTTGTACCTTTGTGCTTTTATAGGTGGTGATGTATCCTTCTTTAAATATGAAGACTTGGAAGCCGCTTTTGCGAGCCAAGAAATACACCCTGGTGATTTAAAAAATGCTGTAGAAGTGTACATCAACAGACTCCTTGATCCAATAAGAAAGGAATTTGAAGCAAACTCGAAACTGAAATTACTTGCGAGCAAAGCATATCCTCCTCCACAGAAACAAAGTAATTTATTTTTGCATATTTAACGATGGAATCATTTATTTGTTACCAGTAAGAAGTTGTACTGCAATCACAATTCTTGATATCCAGAAGCAGAGGCGGAAATTACTCCCGCAAGACTAGATATTCGAGTGGGCAAAATAGTCGAAGTGAAGAGGCATCCTGATGCGGACTCGCTATATGTCGAAAAAATAGATTTAGGTGAATCAAATGGTCCACGTACCATAGTTAGCGGCTTAGTTAATTTTGTACCTCTGAACGAGATGGAAAACAGGATGGTGGTAATTCTTGCAAATCTGAAGCCAGCAAATCTCAGAGGAATCTCATCGCATGGAATGGTTCTCTGTGCTTCAGTGTATGTTACATATACAAGTAGTTTTCAACTTAATGTTACGCAAACACACACACACACACACGTCAATCATTTACCAAAAAATAAACGCGGGCAAAATGTATAAACAAAAATAAATATTGATAAACAATAAACGATATATTTTATACAGTGAAGAACCAATTAAGCAAGTGGAACCTTTAAGGCCTCCCACAGACAGCATACCTGGCGATAAAATTGTTATCGAGGGATATGAAGACGGAGTTGCGGATGATGTGTTAAATCCCAAGAAAAAGGTGTGGGAGAAGTTGCAGGTACGTCTAAAAACTAAACTCACTAACTAGCTTACTGAGTCTTTGAGCATTTATTCGTCAACATTCCCGTAACATTTAATAGATCAAGATACGTTGTAATAAGATAATATGTTATTAGGTGGATCTTGTGGTAAATGGAGATGGCATAGCTTCTTGGAGTGGAAATCCATTGCTCACTTCGACGGGTGGCAAGATAACATGTGACACACTAAAAAATGTTCCGATTAAATAATGTATTTATATCTGACTTCATCGTTCATTATATTGGCTTTGGCTAACTAGGGATATTTAGCTATTGTTTATATTTTTATGAGATATCTTATCTTTTTCATATTTTTTCAACATATTTAACGAACACGCGCACATAAATACAAATGCAACATCAGTCAAAGAAATTTAACCAAATTGGCAAACTTATAAATAAATAGATTCAATAAACAGTTGCCTTTATCGATTGTCATTTTCAATAAAATGTTGTCCTTATCTTTCAATACAAATGTTGTGTAATTGACTTTAAAATCGTAACTGACATTTTAGTATCGCAAAGCAATTTTTTTTTCAATTCTTTTAGTTATCTTTTTTTCAATGTAAATTTTTAAATAAATCATCAAATTTCTACCATTTTACGTGGACATATATTCATTTAATAGACATTTCCAAAAACAGATCCTGTTATGAATTCTTTGAAATTGAATAGCATATTTTCATAACGAGTTTCTTTCAGGACATTACTTTATATCTGGAACCGTATACGATGCTTTGACGTTTGACTCGCAGAATGCGCTTCGGTATATTTTGATCTACAAGAGAATACCTATAACGTCTATCTACAGTTCAGACTTATTATACAAGATGAAGGAAAAATACCGGGATCCCGAAATATCTCGAAAAATATAAGTCTTACAAAAAAATTTTTCAAACAAAAGTTGTAGGGTTTAAAAAGATCTATTTAACGACCTTATTAGTTTAACCTTAGGTGGAATAAGGTCAAATCAAGATCACTTTGAATATTTTAAATTGGACCCCCTATTTTTTATTGCGTATTCTTGTAACCCTTGTCAAAACGTTATAATAAAGCTCTTTTTCATTAAGAATTTCTTAAGGTGATCCTAAAGCCGTGATTCTAGCCGGTTTTTTTCGGTTTTTTTCTTAGCACTAATCTTTTAGATTAACAAACTCCTTTGCTTCGACCAAACTGGCTATATCGATTGCGAAATGGATCGTTTTGCTCACTCAAAACAAGCGTGAAAAGCGGCCCATTTCACGCTCGCGTTAGGAAAAAGTATATTATTTATCTATTTTGATATCTTTAAAATATATGTGTTAGTTACATTATTACTATTGTGTTACTTCATTAAATAAAATTTTAATTTATAACATTTTAGTACTAACTACTTATTTTTAATTCCTACTGTACATGACATATAATGTGATTTAATCAAATATAAAAATAAAAAATTTAATTTAAGGCTCCTGGATGGTCACCGCGGCCATATTGAATTCTCACTATT